TTTTTTTTTTTAACGTAGGAATTTTGGATATTCAAAGACTAACGTTGTTGTTTTTTGTTTCTTTTTTGTTTAAGAATTCCCATCCCTACAAGATCTGAACAAGCGACTCGCCGACAGTTGGCCGTTTGGCGAGTTTCTGACACCTCAGGTTACCGAACCAGCATTTCAAGTCGTCGCGGGACAGTGGAGGGAAATGACTCGCCCACACATCATAAAAGTGCTTGCTAGTGAGCTTCAAAATACTCATTACACAAAGAACTCTGTGATCCAGAAAGTGTCCGCTCTCGGACCAATATGGGAAATTGAAAAATCTCTGATTGTTGCTGAAATTTTGAAACTTTTATAAAGAATGGTCAAAAATTGGGAAGAACTGTTCTTTTGGGTAAATGAACCTTTTCCACCACCGAAATTTGGCCCCGAATATCAGCTCACAATGTGTGCCATTCATACTATGTGGGATTCATTGATTCGCAGCCCGGCCGAGCCGGGAGGGGCCTGGCTCACAGACGCCTGCAGTGCGGCAGCTAGGCAACACTGCCGACAGGCCCGCGTGACGGGACTGCATCACGACTCGTCAAACTATGGAATACTCTAACCCGTTACTAAATCTGACGTGCACAAGGGGCGATTCTCAACTTATGAGTAGAACAATTAAATCAGAATATTAACTTAGATCACTGGAGCCAGACTTTTGACTTTTGACACCTAACCACCTAACTATAGATATCAGGTAAAAATCAAACAAGGAATATATTTTGGAGCCATTTATTGATTCATGGATTATATACAATGATGATTATCAGAGATTGGAACTTTTCGTATATATGCAACACAGGGAATTTAATCAATTCATGTTTTCAGGACTTTGCAGGAAGAGTAGGGCTTTCAGAAGAGTCTGTCTCAGATTCTGACACTTTCTTGGTTGGAGTCTCCTTGGGGCTGCTGTCATCTGATGAGGACTGGTTCGGAACGGTCGGGGGCTTTTCTTCAGGCTCGGAATCTGACTCGTCGCTGTCGTCGGCGGGGGCCTTCCTCTTGTATTTTCCCTCATCCATCTTGACATCTTCTTTCGCCTCCTCTTCCTCCTCTTCCTCCTCCTCCTCATCTTCGACCTCCTCGTCATCGCTGTCGCCGCTCTCGCCATCGTCATCTTCACCCTCCTCGTCGCTCTCCTGGACCTGCAGCGCACTCCTGTAAACAAGTTAGAAATGATATTACAATTTTATCTCACCTCATATATAGATCATTCGATCATAGTCCATCGTCTAAGACAACATACTTACATCATTTCCCTGGCCTCCCGCTCGCCACCGTAGGGCGGGCCCCTCTCCTCCCCTGTGAACGCCAACACCTCCGCGAGGGCACACCTCATCGCGCGCTTAAGATCACTTTCGTTCTTCCTGGTCACCAGGGGGAGAAAGTGCTTCCACACCCTGTCGTGGGACACAACTCTTAGCCCCTCGGCGAATAGATTAGTTGCTCGCCTCATTGCGCCAATAGGAAGGTCTTTGTCAAGTTCTTCGACATGGCGATCCCGTAGGTGGGAGACCAGGTCAGCCCTGGACACTGTTATATAGTAGCAGTATGGGCAACGTTTTACGTTTTTAGGGGCCTGCCGTGTCGCCTGAGAACACTGTGGACACAAAAAAAATATTGGTATCAGAATTTGCATTTTCACACACTCATTATAAAAATAAAATGTGTTACCAGAGTATGAGACAATCACCTTTACGCCCCAGTACACCTCTTTTGGCGTGGCAGGCCACCAGACCCTGTCCTGGCTCCAATTTCGACGCTGAAAGTCGACTTTTGGCTTCTAGAAAAAAAATAACAGACGTCAGGCAACAGGCGCTTATGTCAGAATTCGAGAAGAGAGTAAGAAGTGAGGAAACACTTACCTCAAAAAGGAACGGCTCCTCTTTCGGCTTCGGAGTTGCCTTTTTCATTTTCTTGACTGGAGTTGCTTCAGATTGAACATCCTTTCTTTTGTTCTGTGGACAAAATAAAAATTTGTAAGAACAGTCAAAATTGGAATAAAATAATGGCTTTACAGAAACAAAACTGAAAGAA